GGAAGAGGGAGGAAGAGGGAGGGAGAAAAAGAAAAAATTGTTGCAGATGCAACCAACATGTTGAAGGAATATACTAATGTTAAAATTAACACCACATAACAGTAATAGTCACAATAATTTTAAAAAGAACTTTGTACATGATGAATAATCATTCAAAAAGAAATGTCATGAAAGTAACACATTGCAAGAAAGAGCTGCATTGCTAAGCTGAGCTGAAGAGAAGCTTTCTCTTAACAGTCCCAGAGTGTGCTCAGCTTCTTCTTTAACTTTGAGATATATTAAGGCAAAGTTTAAATCTACAGGATGAAGGCTCAGAAAGTACAATGAACCAACCAAGGGAAAACTGCCAACTTGGATTCCACAAAACCAGTTCTTTTAGCAACTTGAACTGAGCACAGATAGTGAAAATAGAGAAAATAAACTCACCATAGATACTAAGGAGGTTAACAATTTTACGAGTTCCTTGTGGATGAAATTAGGACAAATTCACCTAGATGCAAATTGGATCAAGAAAGCAGACAATATTGCCAATGGAAATAAGGGGATTCACAGCTGAAAATATTGCAAAGGTAGAAAAGAAGAATAAATGAAAGGTGCCAGGTCCCAATAAAATCCAGAATTTTTGGCTGTAACGTCTAGTGTCTACATATGAAGCTATTGCAAGATGTTTCTCCAAAGCTCTGGGCGATCCTAAAAAAAAAAAAATCTTTCTAACTGAATGGACACACAGTATCTACTATTCAAGAAGGGGGACTTTTTGAAGCCTGAAAACTATTGGCCAGTCACATGTTTAATCAGCAGTACATAAATTGTTCACTGCCATAGTAAACGAAGAAATCAACAAAATACTGCAAAACTAACAGCATTTTGGGAGAAAAACAAAAGATGAGTTTGGGCATCCCTGGGCTGCAAGCAGCCATAGTATTGAAGCAAGTGCAAATTTAAAAGCAAAATCATCATACATCCCATTAACATTACACCAGAGCATATGATTCAGTACCTCATAAATGGCTATTAAAAGTACTTGACATTTACAAATCTACCCAGAAATTATTAAATAATTTAAGGCAATGAAGACATTGAGAACTAACCTCCATATTGAAAATAGTAAAATTGCATCCATTAACGTTAGAAGTGGAATATTCCAAGGAAATTCTCTCATCAATGTGGTATTGTTTAGCCAATCCATTATCTGCATTATTACAAGAATGTAAATTGGGATATAAGATAACATTTCATGTTTTATATGCAAGTCCACCACACTTTATTCAATTATACCAATTTTCAAATGACTATCACCATACTTCTTTTGAGATAGTGAGAATCTGATCTTAATATGTAGTCACTGCACGAGCCGACTTGAAACTATGACCTTGTATTTTTTCTTTCACATAAGGGTACAGAAAAAATTCACACACACCAGGTCTGGACAGTAGGGTGGATGAAACCTTTATTCTGTCAGAAATTCAGTTGTTGCCCTTGCTGTGAGGAATGAGGCGTTGTCATGGTGAAGCAGGATTCCACTCAAACCTCATTTTGGATGATCTTCCTCAGCTCTTCAAAGACAGGCAAATTGCAGTGTATCATCTTGCAGTCACAGTCTTTTATTCCTCAAGTGGCACTGTCACAATATGGCCACTGGCAGAGAAGAAAGAAAAAAATAATCTTATCAACACTTCTGGATTTTCTCGCTTTCATTGGGGGATGCTCTGGAACAGCAGTTTCTTTTCTGGAACCAATTGATAAATTCGGCTTTCATCAGCAGTCACAATGTTAAAAATGTTTTTTGATCTTCCTCCAATGAACTTATCCAGGGTCTCACAACATCTATCCACTCGTTCCATTTTTTGTACATTTGGCAGATTGTGACTGATCCAGCAATAGCACAGCATCCTCATGTGATGCTTTTCTTTCAGGATGTATCTTACTGCTGCTGATCCAATATTTAAAGCTTCCTGAATCAGAACATAGGTTCATTGTTTCTTTAGCAATGGCCCACTTTTAGCTAGTTTTCATGTGTTGCTGCGTTGGGCCTACCAGAATGGTCTTTATCTTCCAGTCCCTTCCCCTCTTGAATTCAGCAAACCATCAATAAACATTGGGCTTGTAAAGGGCAACAATTGCGAAACACATATTGAAATCTTTCAAGAAATGATTTCTTATCTAAGCCAGCCCTAAAGTCATTCAAAATCTTATTTCTGAAATGCCCTCTCTTCAGGTTCATCCTTACTGGCAAAGGAACAACAACTAATTGAACACAAATAACCCTCTGAGTTAGTCAATTACCCGAGCTTGTTCAAACTTGTACGAGCCTGTTACTAAAAGTTCCACCTAACAATGGAAAGTCTCTTTGTTGCTCATTCTCAAAACTACTGGAGTGATCTTCATATAAGCTGTGAGTTAATTACAAATATAATCAAATTAAAAATCCAATTCCTGCTACAGCAGCAGTGAATTGAGATTCAAAATGCAGTCCGAGAACTCTTGTGAAAGTAAACCGAGTGTTGGACCACTCCTGACAAGCCTGCAATGCTGTAGGTGAGAGAATTGTGAAAAGTGACCTGTGTCACTGGTGAAAAGGGCTGTATTCTTATTGCAGGTGGGGCTGGTGTTACTGCAAAGGCTTCTAAAAGTTCATGAACATTCATACCATTGAAGGAGCAGCTTGGCGCAATCTGTCAATGAGGTAAACGACCAAAGATGAATATTATGTTCCTTTGTTAACATTGGAATTTTTCTCATCTAATAATGCAAAGAACCCAGTGAGTACTAGCTGATGTTCACATCAAGGTACAACAGAAGTAACATTGCATTGCAACCTTTCAGTAGGTCAAAAACAAACTTGGTAGGATCTTGTAAGGGGTAACACGGGACATATTTCAACAGCAACTTTTAAAACTCTCCCACAGACAAAAGATCCAATACAAACAAGCTCTGGATAATATCATATATGTCATAAGGAATATGAAAACAAAATAGTAAAGGGGAAATGCTTTTACCCACATTCCTCAGCAAATCTCATCTACCTTCAGTAATTAAAAACACTTCTTAGGAAGCAATAGATGATACTCAAAAAATTGCCGAAATTCTTTCAAATTAATTTAGCAACATACACAAAACAGAACTACCTACAAACTACCATGTCATTGCTACCCCAATGTGTTCAGAATAACTAGTGGAGGTGACTTTGACTGACTTGGAAACTTTAAATATGCAGCTGTATCTCGACCCCAACCCAAACCAGGGTTCCAATTATATCCCCAACAGTGTTCCTAAAGGAATATAATATGAGAAAAATATGAAGACCAGGATGTTACCGAACTTCTTGAAAACTGCTGGTGATACCAATATATGAAAAAACAAGTGACAAATTGTACCCCAACAATTAGCAACTAACCTCGAGTATGTCTACCAGCTTATACGAATAATCACAAAATTCATGGACTGCAACGAAAGAAAGTATTATAAGATCCCCGCCAAACATTTCACATGAACTACAAATTCACAGTTTTTCAGATTTCTATTCACCCTGAAAGAGAATTCACCTGTACTAGCTGCCTGTTTCTTGGGAGCTGCTTTCTTTGGTGCAGCTGAAGTAACCGCCCTTTTAGTTGCTTTTGGGGCACTTCCGGTGTTACTGGTGGGCTCTGCGTCATTTCTGTTTACTGTAGCAGGTGCAGTATTTGGACGATCATTAGCCTTTGGAACGGGAACTTTAGCAACTATCACAGCCTTATCACAACACTCTTTGATCTACAAAAGAAAAAGCGAAAATACATTAATCTATATTAATATCTCTTCAGTCACCAACAATACATTTTTCACAAAAGATTCCTGTAGCAAAACTCCATTTATTCAATTTGATCTTATATTTTTTTCACATTTATTCATCTTTATTTTTAAATTAAGGCTAAATTTCTTTATTTACAATATTACATTTTTTTCAAAGATGTATTTTACATCACACACTTATAAGTCCATAGAAGAAGTCCCAACTGTGAAGTAACCAAATAACAACAATGACCAAAAGTGAGAACACTTAAGTCATTATAAAGCTCAAGGAATCTTGTCTGTTTTTTCAGTATACTGGTCAATAAGTTTTGTTAGTATGCAGGGGTTATCATCTTTCCATTGGAAAACTATAAAGGTTGATAGGGTCTGTGGCCAAAACCCCTGAGTGTAAGGATGTGTATGTTGTCCAATATGGCATTGTGACCAAAAGGGTTGGCCACCATTGCACAATTCTGCCAATTTAGTAGGAAAAATTATGGTCTCGAGTATTACGGGTGAACACTGGGAAGTTGTCACTTTGAGGGGGATATTTATGCTTTATGAGCAGAGAAAAGCAAATGGTAAGAACTTTCTATTATGAGAATATTACAACCATATTATGTAATTCTAACACAGTAGTATTGTCAAAATGTTGACCTTCATTTTGCACAGATTATCCATATTTTTAGATAAGTGTTTTTCTTGGATACATATTTTCTCCCTTCAGTCTCCTGGAAACTATATAAATGAAGTTTTCCTCTACTTCTAATGCCAATTCTGTCAACAAATTTTTTTTTCACACTCTTAAAATATAAAATACGTTTAAATACATTTCATTTACGAGTAAGTACTGGAATTTAAAGCAAATGCATATTCCTGCAT